ATTGGAAAAAACTGGCATCAGTACCAGTTTGATACTTTCACCTATCGTTTGAATGAAAAATTTCAGATTTTCAGTTTTTAAGTTGAGTTTGACACAAAATGACGACTTGACATATGTACGTCTAGCTAGAATTAATTAAAGAAAAAAAACCTCGTGACGCCATACGATAAAGTGCTTAGCATCTTAATTACTTCAGTTAGCATGGTAAGTCAACATGTCTCTCTGAAAAGTATCAATCAGATGAATGGCCCATGGGCGGGCCGGTTGTTTTTAGAAAAAAAACATGGGCTGGGCTGGACCGAAGTTGATAGCCCATGGGCTGGTTTTTATTAGCCCAACCCGGCCCATTGAGACCTCTGTTCTCTAATCTCTCTTTGATAATATCGGAGAAGTAAACCAAAATGTATTTTTTGTCTATCGACTCTAGAGATTAGTGATAGTTCTTGCTTATTAAACAAAAAACTAGACTTTTTTCACTTCTTTTTCGAATGGATTATTTGAACAAATTTCGTTTTTGTATAGCTTGATACAGTCTACTGACAATACAAAAAAAATCATGCGCACACTTGTATAAATAGAATATACAAAAATACTTTCTTTTGTATTTCCATTAGAAAATCTATTTATTCAGTTCGTAAAGAAATTTTTGGATTGCTTCATCATGAATAAATGAAAGATTTAGATTTCTGTTTGTTAATTTGTATTGAGTCAACGATAATAATTTCTTAAAAGTTTAATCTATAAAATGAGACTCTACCAGAAAGCAGTTGGAACAAATGGCATCTTATGGCGACCTCTTCATAAAAAAATAAAACTTTTTTCATTCATTTTCCTCTTCTCTTCAGTAGTGGTTTGAATTAAACAACGACTCATAATCAGCCTTGTTCCTTTTTATTTTCGTTTCATTTCACGAGTTCCTATGTTTGTTGTAATTCGTCATATCTTAAATTTATCTACCTTTTCATTTTTATGTACAAACTGATAATGTTAAATTCATAAAAGGTTCGAGAACAACGTTGTTAAACATATGCCATTATAGAAGTTACGATTAAAATGATTTCAAGACTTTAGTTTAAATTATTTAATTTTCTTCTGATCTTTATATCTTTTCTTTTCAGATGTCTACAAACGTTGGATATGGTGTTCGAGCACCAGCAGCTATTTATTCATGTTTAATCAAAAACAATAGTGATGCTGAAGTTGATGTTCAAATTCAATTTGCTGGTATTGAAGATCATCATGCTGAAGTAGCTGATATTGAAGTAGCTCAAGGTGAAGAACAACGTATAGATGAAAAAGAATTTGAACATGGTGAATCCGATGGAAAATGTCATAAAACAGTTGAATTAATTCGCGTTCGAAAATATGATGGATCAATAATTGAATTGAAAGCACCATTTGATGGTGTGACATCACCAAAAAAAGATTGGATATTCGAAATTCATAATGATTCAATTAAATCTGTTGATCCAAAGAAGAAATGAGAGACATTTAGAAAAAAAAACACTTGTTACAAACTAGATAATAGATTTTAAATAAAAGATTATGTCAATTGGGATTTTTTATTCAAGAGATATTCTTCATAGATTTTTTAGAATTTCAATCATCGTTTCATCTTTTATTAGATATTTATTATCTAAAATAAATTCGTTTTCATAGATTTTTCGTTGTTGTATTTAATTATGCCATTTAATTGATTTTTGAACATATCGCCAATCCCTATTACGTTCTACATTTAATACTCATACTGATAAAATATCAGGATTATTGACAACTAATATTATAATTATATTCATTATGAGATAAATACTTTGATAAATCTTAAATACGTTTATCAGTTAAATCATTAATTAAAATATTTTGATATGAATAATGATGATAATTTTTTAAAATAAAAATTAAATTTTCAAATCTCATTTGTTCTTCTATGTTACTTTGATTTGTTCATTGATGATTTAAATGAAATTCAGGTAGACGGGCAAAATCAATCATTAGCCATGAATTTTATGCTCTTTCGCAATATATCCCCTTGGGAAAAAATAGTGTCACACGATATTCTTCATATATCATCATTATAAATTAACATTTTGAGTAACGTAGCTATATATTCGGATAGCCTGTGGAATTCTCTACATATGTACGTTTTGAATTAGACTTGTTTGCTAAAAATAAATTCAAGCACAACAAAGGTACCCTCATTACCAGATTTCCTGAAAACGCATTTTGTTTCTTCATCCATTTTTTCAAAAATATTTTTAATATAGGAACAAGTTATTACAAAAGTACGCATATATTCTGAAAGCGTGTGAAATTCTCTATTATCCTATATATTTATGTCTTATATTGCATTTCTTTGCTGCAGTGAATAAATGCAAAAAAAGACATACATATTTAGAATGATAGAGAATTTCATGCGCTTTCAGAATATATACTTACTTTTGTAATAACTTGTTCCTATATTAAAAATATATTTGAAAAATAAATGAAAATAAACAAAAAAACATTTTTCCGGGCAATATGAAGATGAGGGTGCCTTTACTGGGCTTGAATTTATTTTTAGCAAATAAGTGCACTTCAAAACGTACATATATAGATTTGTAGAGAATTTCACGGGGTACCCGAATATATAATTATGTTACTCAAAATGTTAATTTATAATGATGATATATCAAGAATATCGTGTGACACTATTTTTTTCCAGGGGGATATATTGCGAAAGAGCATAAAATTCATGGCTAATGCTTGATTTGTCCC